CCACAAGAGGCTTCCCCGAGGCACCCAATGCGCTTCAAGCGGGGACCGCCAAGAGGCCCCCAAGACGCCCCAGGAGTACTCCAAGAAACTCTCAAGAGGCATCCGAGGAAATTCCGAGAGGCATGTAAGAGGCCTGTGGCCGTTCTGCTCGCCCACCTCCTCTTCCAATTTCTCCTCTTCCTATTTCTCCTCCTCCTCCTCCTGCTCCCCCTCCTCCACAGCATGCTCCTCCACATCCTTGATCAGGGCAACACCCCTGGGCATCGTTTCTGGATAGGGGGTTACGCGAGACATGTGGGATAGAGTACAATTTCCCCGATCCTCTCCCTTCCCTCCTCCGTTTCCTCTTCGTATCCCTCCTCTTTTTCTCGTCGTCGTCCTCATTGCATTGCAAGGCGCTTGACACAAGGCCGTCGACCCTGTCGGCATGTGGAAGAGGCTGTTCCGTTTGACTCGTCTCCGTCGACGTCGTCGTCGTCGTCGCCGATCCCTCTCTTTCCCTGGCCTCCAAAACTGCCCCCCCCCCCCCTCGGAGGCCTCCGAGAGCGCTCCGAAGAGACCCCAACAGAATCCCTGAGGACTCTGGCCCACGTCAGCGTCGCCGTCGTCGTCGTCGTCATCGTGGTCATGGTCGTCGTCGTCGTCGTCGTCGTCCCCCTTTAGGGTCGGCGGCACTGGCCGTAAGGCCTTCGCAATAAAGGAGTTAATCGCGGGGCAGTCGGGGCCAGGCCAGCATGACCTGGTTGATTACATGAATGCTATTGATTCGTGATCTGGGAGGGTTCTGCCCTCTCCAGCAGCCTCTTCCTCGTATTCCTCATCTTGTCGTCTTCTTCCTCCCTCTCGCGTTGCAGAGCGTTTTGCTGCACAACATCGTGCGCACCATGTTGCTGGGGTGTGTGCACAATAGCGTAAGCAAATGAGATACACGTGTGCCATCCCCACCTCCCATTCAACCTCACCAACGGCGCACTGATTTCGCTGCTCTGAATGATGGAGCTACGATCGAGAACATCAGGCTGGAAATCTTAAACAATCCAGGGAGCTGGACACACAGCGGAAGCGGAAGTCTGCCATCGTCACGGGGCGACCCCACAAGGGCGGCAGGCGCGCCAAACGCGCTGGCCTCCAGGGAGGCCGCGCTAGCCCTCCAGAGCTGGAAACACAAACGGATGGACTCACACGCGGAGCATGCATCGGCCATTTGCTGGGTACGCGTGCGGATGGCCAGCGTATTTCGCCGCACCATGGCCGACTCCCTGGAAGGACATGCGGCGTAGTGTTGGAGGCATGGAACTGAGCACCAACACCAACACAAGGGGTTGCCTCCACAGGGAGAAGACGCTCCTAGATTTTTATGTTTGTGGTAATATTTCGGTCACCTCGGCAACCATAACATTACCACCATCACCGAGATCGGGATCTCCTTCCCTCGGTGGAGGCACACCGTCGATATTGGTGTTGGTGTCAACCTCTAGGCCTGCGATATTGTCTATCCACCTCTCGCCTAGGCTGTGCGCCGACATGGAGGTGGACATGCGTGCGGACCCTGCCACTGGGGCCTTCGGTGGAGCATCCTACAAGGGCCACGAAACGTGTGATGGGTGCGTCGAATAGGGTCGAAACTGCATGCGGACCCTGCCACTGGAGACTTCAATGGAGTACCCTGCAGGGGTCACGAAACGTGTGAGGGATGCGCCGACATGAAAGTGGAACTGCATGCGGACCCTACCACTAGGGCCTTCGGTGGAGCATCCTATGAGGCCACGAAACGTGTGACGGGTGCACCGACGTGGAGGTGGAACTGCATGCGGACTCTGCCACTCGGGCCTTCGGCGGAACACCCTATGGGGCCACGAAACCTGTGAGGGGTGCGCCGACGTGGAGGTGGAACTGCATGTGGGCCCTGCCACTGGGGCCTTCGGTGGAGCACCCTACAGGGGTCACGAAACGTGTGAAAGGTGCGCCGAACTGGAGGTGGAACTGTATGGGGACACTGCCATGGGGCCTTCGGTGCAGCACCCTGCAGGGGCCACGGATCCTGCGAGGGGTGCGCCGACATGGAGGCGGAACTGCATGCGGACCCTGCCACTGGGGCCTTCGGTAGGAGGAGGGAGGCGGGAGAAAGGAGAACGCGGCGCGCGGTCTCTGCAAAGCGAGGACCCAGCACCACAAGACTGCTGGGAAAGAACTGTCTAACCACACGGCTCCACCCAGAGGTCCGATGCATTGATATGGTAACAGAGGGCCCGGAGGGCCCAGAAGTCCCGACCGTTTCCCAACGGCCGGCCCCGCATCCCGAACTGATGTTTGACTGTCCCGTGGAGCAGCGAAGGTCCCCAGAGGCCGAAAACTACGAAACGCCTCCGCGTTGAATCCCACCAGCCCTTCTAGGCGACAGGTAGTCTGAGGGTGATCTCGTTTTCTTCCACAACCCCTCTTCCATTCGGGGAGGGGAGCCCTTCCCTTCCTTCCCTGGAGCTTTTCGGGAGGGGGACCGATGTGTCAGATGGTGATGTTTCGGCCCGTGGGAGAGCCAATATTTGACACCCATCACGAGGATCGTGGCCCCCGAGGGGGAGGCAGAGATCGAAGACACCCCTTCTTTTGACCGACCGCCTTTAGGATGGCACCAAGAGGCCTTCCAGGGCTCCCAAGAGGCCCCCAAGAGAGCTCCAAGAGCGCCCCAAGAAACCCCCTGAGCGGCCCCCCAAGAGGCCCAAGAAGCTCACCCGAGGCACCCAAGATGCCGTCTCGTCCTCACCCTCCTCCTCGTGCTCCTCGTCCTCATCCTCGTCCCCTCATCGTCCTCATCCTCGTCGACCTCCTCGTCCTTATCCTCCTCGTCCAATTCCTCCTGTTTCTCCTCCTCCTCCTCCTCGTCCTCGCGTTCTCGTCTATATCCTTCGTCGTCTTCCTCCTCCTCCTCCTCCTTCTCCCCCTTCTCCTCCCCCTCCTCCTCATCATCCTCCTCGTTCTCATCCCCCCTCGTCTTCGTCCTCCTTCTCCTCCTCCTCCTCCTCCTTCTCCGCCTCCTCTTCGCCCCCCCTCACGCGGGCCCGGGGATGGCCCCAACACACCGTCCAGGCCAGCCTCCCTCGCTGTTTGACTATGCGTGTCTCTTCATCTCAAGCCCCCGTCAGCCCTCATGGGCATCGGTTCTGGATGGGCTGGCGGAGATGCGCGAAGCGTCAAGAATTGCTCAATGCGTCGGAGGTGACACACCCAGACGCACTTGAAAAGACATACAGTCAAAAACTGTAATAAGGACGCGCGGTAAGGACGCAAGACCTTTGGAAGCCGCAGTTGGGATCTTTGGGGCGGCGGGCGACGAAAACCCCAAGGACGCAAGAGCGAGGAAGAGCAAGGACGCAAGGGTACCCTGAGCAAAGTCGAGCGTCTTATTAGGGTTTTTGACTGTACCCCACGGGTGGCCTGGACACCTGAAAACACGTCGTTCCAGCTCGGGACAACCACGATAGATACCCCCCCCCTGGGTGACGTGGACACGCAATGTCACACGGCTCCAGCGCGGGACCACCATGTTAGATATCCCCCTTGGGTGGCACGGGCACGAGACAACACGAGATAACACACCCAGACGCACTTGACAAGGCATCGGGGAACCACCACCCGTGCCAAACCAACGGCGCGCCCGCACAGCTCGGTCACCCCTCCCGGATGCCGCCCGGGGTTCTCAGTCCCTGGAGGACTGGCCCCATAGACATCTCACGGGGTCCGTCCTCGGGCCAGCGGCGCCTCGGCCTCCTCCTCCATCTCCTCCTCCTCCTCCTCCTCCTCCTCCTCCTCCTCCTCCTCCTCCTCCTCCTCCTCCTCCTCCTCCCTCCCCCCTCCCCCTCGGGCGCCGCACGCGGCGCGCTCCGCGCGCCAGGGACCCTCCCCCTCGGGCGCTGCACGCGGCGCGCTCCGCGCGCCAGGGAGAGGGCTCCAACACCGATCCAAGAACTGCTGCCTGTGCAACTGTTCTGCTTCAATACTGGAATCACCGGGGCGTCAGCGCACTGCAGCCGTGAGCCGATGCATCCTCCACTCGTCATTCTCTCTGGCTGGATCTCGCAAAGTCCTGGATCTCGCAACGTCCTGGTTTCGGAGCAGGGTGAAATGGGAAAACCGCAGCTCAGTGTTGGTCCCCAGACCCCTCCCGCAATCCAAACGCACCAATGTTCCGAGCTGCATCCGCCCGTATCGAAAAGGCCCCCCCCCAGAAGGCCACCTAGCGTTGTCTCAACTCGCTCTCCTCTGAAGCTTTCCAGAGCCCCGATATCCTGGCCGCCAGTCCAGCCCGGAGCGATCCGTGACTGCCCCGTGGCCCAGGAGGAGCCCCGAGGCCGCCACCGGAGGACCTGCAGAGGCTTGGCCGCCAACCGCTGTCTCTCTGACCAGACATTGGAGGCCTGGAAATGGGCACCAACACCAAAACGGGGGGTTGCCTCCATAGGGGGAAGGTGATCCAAGATTTCGGTGTTGGTGGTAATGTTTCGGTCACCTTGGAAGCCTGAATATTTCCCACCATCACCGAGATCGGGATTTTCTTCCCTCGGTGGAGGCACACCGCCGATATTGGTGTTGGTGTCAACTAGACATCAGAAGAGCGGCGAATGCTGAACCTATCAGCATCGAATCGGAGTGCACGGCGAATCGGAATGTGCGGCGCATCGAATCGGATCCGCTACACCAAAATGCACATCAACGCCGTGCTCACATCGGGCCGCATCGGATCGCCCGGAAATCGGCATCGAATCGCACCGAGCGTGCGACATCGGTATCGAATATTGTCATCGCTCGGACGTCAACTCCCCGTGCACTGCTCGGTTTCGTGCGTGCATTTTTTCACAAGATGAATAAGAATGCTCCTCCATTGTCCTCGCCGCGAAAAAATGCACACGTCCGAGCGATGCCAAGGAATTTGATCGATCGGATCGAAATGTGCCCTGGCGTGTGGGCCGAAAACAAGCGACCCGCGGTGGGGAAGAGGGTACTAGATGTCGCCGACGTTGAACACCGTAATTTGCCCGTCGCTGTAGCCAACTGCTCCTTGCTGCCCGTCCAGCATTAATGCCGATGAAGTTACTGTACCTCTCCGATCATCGGCCGTAGTCTCCTCCATGTCGCTGCTACGACTGCGCGTAGCGTGCCATTACCTCCCGTCTGAGTACTCTGAACTATCCTGATCGTCAGGCCTCCTCGCTTGCTTGAAAATGGAATCCACCGTGACGGATATGCGAACGTCGGTTACGAGACTAAGGTGGGAATTCCCTGGGCCCCCCCTCGACCCCCCCAACAAAAACACATAATTACCCGGACGAAGGACCCAACCATACACAACTGTGAATACCGCATTGTGGGTACCGCTTTCGGTGAACCTCCCACTGGGGCCACGAACCGTGTGAGAGGTGTGTCGAGTTGGGTGCGGTGGTGTAATGCGAACCCTCCCGCTGACGAACCGTGTGATGGGTGTGCCGAATGTGACGCGGTGGTGCCATGCTGACCCTCCCACTGGGGCCTTCGGTGGAGCATACTCTGAGGCCACGAACCGTGTGAGCGGTGTGCCGAATTGGGCGCGGGGGTGTCATGCGAAACCTCCCACTGGAGCCTTCGGTGGAGCTCCCCATGGGGCCACGAACCGTGTGAGGGGTGTGCCGAATTTGGCGCGGTGGCGCCATGCGAGCCCTCCCTCTGGAACCTCCGGTGGAGCTCCCCATGGGGCCACGAACCGTGTGAGGGGTGTGCCGAATTTGGCGCGGTGGTGCCATGCTAACCCTGTCACTGGGGCCTTCGGCCTATGGGGCCACGACCCGTGTGAGGGGTGTTCCGAATTGGGTGCGGTGGTGCCATGTGGACCCTCTCACTGGAGCCTTCGGTGGAGCATACTCTGAGGCCACGAACCGTGTGAGCGGTGTGCCGAATTGGGCGCGGGGGTGTCATGCGAACCCTCCCACAAGAACCTTCGATGGAACACCCGATTGGGCCACGAACCGTGTGATAGGTGTGCCGAACTGGGCGCCGTGGTGCCAAGCGAACCATCCCACTGGAGCCTTCGGTGGAGCTCCCTCTGGGGCCACGAAAGGTGTGAAAGTTGTGCCGAATTGGTTGGCGGGATGCAAGTGGGGGGATAAGTCCAGATGGGGATAGAGGCGCAATCGAGGTACAAATTGTACCCACGCCCCACGGAGAAGGTACAATTTGTACCGACGCCACGCAGACAAGGTACAAATAGTACTTTTGACAACGCCCGCGACATGTGCGAGGATGTTAACGGGGGGGGAGAAGGTACAATTTGTACTTGCAGCCCGAAGAGAAGGTGCAAATTGTACCCCAACAAAACGGTACCGGATACTCATCCCCCCATGTCCTGATCCCCCCATCGCCATCCGGCCGAATTGGGTGTGGTGGCGCCATGCGAACCCTGGCACTGGGGCCTGCAGCAGAGCTCATTATGGGGCCACGAACCGTATGAGGGGTGCCGACATGGGCGCGGTGGTGTCATGCAAACCCTGCCACTCAAACCTTCGGTGGAACATGCTCTGAAACCACGAACCGTGTGAAGGATGTGCCGAATTGGGTTGTGCCAGATTGGGCGCGGTGGTGCCATGCGAATCCTCCCACTGGAGTCTTCGTTGGAGCCACCAATGGGGCCGCGAGGCGTGTGAGGGGGTGTGCCGCATTGAGCGCGCTGGTGCCATGCGAACTTTCCCGCTGGGGCCTTCGGTGGAGCTCCCTATAGGGCCACGAACCGTGTGAAGGGTGTGCCGAATTGGGCGCGGTGGTGCAATGCGAACCCTCCAACTGGAACCTTCGGTGGAAATCCCCATGGGGCCACGAAGCGTGTGAAGGGTGTGCCGAATTCGGCGCGGTGGCGTCATGCGAACCCTCCAACTGGAGCCTTCGGTGGAACTCCCGATTGGGCCACGAAACGTGTGAGGGGTGTGCCGACTTGGGTGCCGTGGTGCCATGCGAACCTTCCCGCTGAAGCCTTCGGTGGAGCTTTCTATGGGGCCACGAAACGTGTGAGGGGTGCGCCGAAGAGGGCGCGGTGGTGCAATGCGAACCCACCCACTTGAGCCGTCTTGGAGCTCCCTATGGGGCCACGAAACGTATGAGGGGTGTGCCAACATGGTGGGCATGCGAAAAGCAGAGGAGGAGGAGGAGGAGGAGGAGGAGGAGGAGGAGGAGGAGGAGGAGGAGGAGGAGGACGAGGAGGACGAGGAGGGGCGGAGGAGACGCGGGGACCGCCTGTTCAAACACTACAGGATTGTTGGGAACAGTAATCAATAACATAATATTGTCGGTTCCCCCCCCAATGGGAAAAGTAAGAGGCAATCGGAAAAGGGTGGGCGACCCTCCCAGAGATGAGGGTGGCCAACGAAACCAAGCTTATCCATACGAAGGGCCCAACCACATGCAGTTGTGAGCATCGTCGTTGTGGATATCGCCTTCGGTGGAGCCCCTTTATGGGGCCACGAAGCATGTGCGAAGGTCGCCACTGGGGCCTTCGGTGGAGCTCCTTATGTGGCCACGAAGCGCTCACAGAGTGGGGGGGGGGGGGCGCATGCGAACACCGCCACTGGGGCCTTCGGTGGGGCTCTTATGGGGTCGCGATGCGTTGTACTGCGTAGGGGAGGGACGGGTGCGAACACCGCACGCCGCCACTGGGGCCTTCGGTGGAGCCCCCCTTGGGGCCACGAAGCGCTGTGTTGGTTGGGGGAAGCGCATGCGGACACCGCCACTGGGCCTTCCAGTGGAGCTCCTTATGGGGTCACGAGACGTTGTGTTGGGTACTGGGTGGGGGAGGCGCACGCGGACACCGCCACTGGGGCCTTCACTGGAGTTCACTATGTGGCCACGAAACGCTGTGTTTGCTGGGGGATCGCGTGCGGACACAGCCACTGGGGCCTTCGGTGGAGTTCCCTATGGGGCAACGAAGCGCTGCAATGGGTGATGGAAACGCATGCGGACACCGCCACAGAGGCCTTCGGCGGAGCTCCGTGTGGGACCACGACACGCTGTACTCGGTAAAGGAAGCGCATGCGGACATCGCTACTAGGGCCTTCGGTGGAGCTCCCGATGTGGCCACGGAAAACCGTACTGGGTGGGGGAAACGCATGCAGGCACCGCCACTCGGGCCTTCGGTGGAGCCCCCGTCATGGGGCCACGAGACGCTGTACTGGGTAGAGGATATGCACGCGAAGCATGCCATTGGGGCGGTTGGTGAAGTTCCCTACGGGGCCACGAAACGTGTGAGGGGTATGCCAAAGCGGACAGGAAACGGAATGTGAACGCCGCCGCTGGGGACTTGGGTGGAGCTCCGTGTGGGGCCACGAAGCGTGTGATGGGGCGTGCCAAAGTAAGGTGGAGACGGAAGGAAGGAGGAGAGGGAGGAGGAGGAGGAGGTGGAGCGTACCCAAAGGGGTCTGCAACATCACAAAGCAAATCCGCACCCCGTTCGACGAGGAGCGAGCGAAGGCAGAACCCCCGTAAACAGTAACCTCGCCGAACAGGAAGTACAGGGAAAGGTAGACGACCCACAACCAGTCCATCCTTGGGAATGGCGGAAGCTCATCGTCTGCCAAGCTTCCCCGAAAGATGTCAGCCAGAGAGCCCTCTATGAGGTCGTGTGCAATGTCATCCACGTTCAGGTGGTCGAACTTGGAGTGGTCGATCGGCCTCGCTCTGGGCTCGATGCGCGGAGGCGCACCAATAGAACAGGCTGCCTGCGACTGCGAGCAAGACGGGGTCAGTGGCGCAGAGGCGGCATCGTCGATCAGCCGCCCACCTGGGTGAGAAAACACACAATCACGAATGTGACAATCACGACCACATCGGCACATAAGAATACGTGTAACGCCGACGCGGGTCGAACTCGAGGCACGGCCTCTGGGCCCAGGCTGCAAACGGGGCGGCGCGGAAGTGGCGCAGTCCAGCTTTTGTCCCAGCAGGGCCAGCTGCGCCTGGAGGGCCTGAAACGATTCCCAAACTCTTCACGCATGTACTCCACTGTCTGCTCCCCGATGTCCGCGCCCCTCGCGCTGGGATGATTTGGAAGTGATCTCATGCCAGCGCCGACCCGCTCCGAAAGCACAGAAACCGGCTATGGTCTCCGACAGCTCGTCGAGTCGCGGCCCCAGCGCTTTCTTGTCCCCAAGATCGAAGAACTTTTTGCCCCAGAGCAACAATATCTGCACCACAGAAAGTCGCAGTGCGCTCCACAGGAATACTCGCGGACTCCACATGTGACGATCCCACTGTGGAAGAGGTCTCTGAGGAGGAGTCTGACGGAGGAGGTTGGGCAACAGCTGCAACTTTATCCAAGGCACCACGGAGCGCCGCGATCGAGTCGTTCTGACCATTGACTAACTTCTGGTACGAGAACAACTGCGCATCGTAGAGCACCTGTGTGGCAGTCAAGAACGCCAGAACAGACGTGTACGAGCACTGTTGTTGTGCTGCCTGCGGCTGGAACTCCGGCGTAACCCGATCCGAACCACAACTGCGAGGTCGCTGGCCAGAGTACCTCCGCACACAAACTGAGGCGGGTGAACGAATCCAGGGAAAGACGCCTTCAGTCGCAATTCAAGTTCAGCCATAAACCATCCTCCCAAATGTCTGTGTGGTGACGCAGAAATTGGTGTGTGACCGAAAGGTGTTGGAACCGACGCCTCAGGGCGTTCGGCAAACTGTGCCGATTTGCGTAAGCAGCCATGTTGAGTCCCGAATAGTCGCGACCAGTCGCAGAAGATAAGAAACGCAACGCACGACCAATCAGTGAAGAGACATGGCCAGACGCCTCGTCCATAGACGCCGAAGAGCAACGCACTCAAGGTACGAGAACACTGAAACCAATCAAACCATGCCGTGGCTCGCTTGAGCCGCAAACCAAAAAAGTGCAGTCTTGAGCCGCAATGGCTACGGAGAGGGAGGAGGAGGAGGAGGAGGAGGAGGAGGAGGAGGAGGAGGGGCAGAGGAGACACGGAAATGGCCTCTTTAAGCAATACAGGATGGCTGGGACTTCAGATCAACAGCACAACCTTTTTGCTTGGGTTCCCCTACTGGGGGAAGTAAGACACGATCAGAAACGG